GAAACAATCATGATCATATTCATATTCCAATCATGCATGGTATGTCCATTAGCATTAACATATCTCTTTGGTCAAGCATATCAAGTTCCATAATGGAACCTCCGGTACCGGGTGTCTTATCACATACGTAGGCCATGGTATTGTTTCCCTCGAGCGAGGGCCTATGCCACAGTATTATTTCCCTTGGGCGAGGGCCTCATGACCATAAGTCACAGTATTATGTCCCCTAGGTGAGGGCCTCTGCTAAGGATACCACAAATACGTCTCAAAGCATTGAATCATCACTCATTCATACAAAACATAGCGTTTCAAAAAACTAATCATTACATATTATCAGAAAATAATTACAGTCAAACATAACTTTACAGAGTTATTACTCACAGATAGCTTCGGTAGTAGAACAAAGGGATCAACCACTCATGACGCGTGACCTGCACAATCATAATAGATACACATATTGAAACACACACTTGGATAGTAATTAACTTATTTCATTTCATTCTTAGTGTGTTTCTAAGTCTTATCCTCATTATTATGTCTTAGCTAGGGCTTAAGAATGCCTAGGATGCAGTGAGGATGCCAAAACATGTTGTTCAACACTTAGTCAAATTTGCTAAAAACGGGGTCCTTGCTCGAGCACCACATCTTTCGCTTGAACGAAGGGTAAAAAATGTGAGTGGTCGCTCAAGTGTAACTTCCTTCGCTCAAGCGGTCTGTACACTCTGAAAAAGTACTGGTTGTGTGAATTCTCCGCTCGAGCGTAACTCTTGTCGCTTGAGCGGTCTGCAAAATGTGTAAACTTCTAGGAGCATGCATTTTACACTCAAGCCAACACTTTTTCGCTCAAGCGGAAGTGCGAAATATAGAGTGGTCGTTTGAGCATAGAATCTGTCGCTCGAGTGGAGGAGTAGAATTCTAGAATTTCCAAATTTGCTCCCAAGCTCACAACTTGAATTCAAAGCCTTAAAATGCAACCTTTGGACACCAAAACTTGAGAAAACATGTCTAAACTTGTAAAACATTAAGAATTCAAAATCATTTTGCAAAATCAAAGCCCAAAAGCATGCCAATTGTGTAAAATCAAACTTGGTATTTTATGAACACAACATGTATGAAGTATCTTGGCTTCAAAGCTTTCAAAACTTGTTCAAATGAGGTGTTAAGCACAAAAACACGTTGAATTCTTAAAACAAAGGCAAGAGGAGCACATGCATGTGAGAATTCTTTGAAATCATACTCAAATTGTGGTGAAATGAACATGCATGCATGATATGATCTTCCTACTAAGCCATTAGCTCATTTCTTGTATAACTCAACTTAACTCTCTAAGTATTGATGATTCCTTACCTCAACTTCTCAATTAAACTCTAGATGGCGACTTCATTAAGATTTCCAAGCCAAATCTTGAATTCCAAGCTAATTCCTTTTTTTGATCTCAATTTCCTTAGTCCCACTTCCTCTCTCTCGTTTGATAGGATCAAAGATGATGATATGAGGGTGTAATGGTAGTTCTAGCACCAAATTAGCCTTATATAGACTCCACTAATTAAACTAATCAATGTATAATTAATTAATCTAATTATTTGATTTCGAATCAAATTTCAATTATACCTACCATAAATTTGTAAAAATTCCAACCAACACATAACCCTAGTCAATTTTGTAATCGGATACCGATAAGGCTTTCAATTCACAAAAAAGAATAGAAATGCAAATAGATATGTCCACAATAGACAGATAGAAACTCAAATAATGCAATACATATGCAATTAAGTCAGAATTTCAATGTAATTACTTCTTAGGGATATTTAATCATGGATTAAAGGCTAATCATAGGTCGGGGTTGTTATACCCTCGACACCCTCTACGTTTTGATCTATAGGACTAGGGGTAGAAAATGGGTATAACTAGATGAAACCCAAGCTTTTAGGTCGAAGAAACCCTAAAATGGCGAAAAGTAGAAAAAGTGACTTTTTCAGCGCACTACCGGTTTACATACGTACAGACCGCTTGAGCGCAAGAAACACCACTCGAGCAATCAGACACAAAAAGTAAGATCGCTTGAGTGAACAAAGTGACTGCTCAAGCAAAGAATACAAACTCCTAGAAGTTTTGCAGACAAAAGACCACCACTCGAGCTTAAAATAGACCACTCAAGCCAACACCGCTTGAGCGCAAGAAGGACTACTCGAGTGAAGAATGCTACCTCTCAATATCTCTGTAGGCCTGTAAAAGTACTGAGAGTTCTCAAGGACCGCTCGAGCGCAGAGGCCAAAATCTGGGCAACAACAATTTTGAAAAACAAGCTACTAACCTGTTCCAAACACCACCAAGTCATTTCATTAACCAAATTCAATGAAGTAGAGGATGAATAAGACATGAACAACCATATATGACAATGAAACCCGGATCCAGAACATCAAATGAGTCGGGTCTAAACCAAAATCGCTATATGATTTGTTGTCCTTAACAAGTTTGAACATATCATTGCTAGTTTCTAAATTAATTTAGTTTGCATGGTTGGATTTGAAAATATTTTGGGAGTTACATAAAGGATTAAATGTGATTTTTGATGATCCATATTTGATTTATTTTTGTATGATATCAAAAACAAGAATTATAACTTTCTTTTGTTTAAGTTATGATAATTAGCCATGTGGGTTTTGTGTTTCAATTGCATCGAATTATATATTATGATCATGACCATTGTTTGCTTTATATAAGGATATGCTTTCTTTTTCACCCGCTATAGGTTTCCTATTCTAACCATTGAAACAGAGAACTATGTAACTTGAACGTTATTAATTAGCTAATTTTATACCAAACCTGTCCTTTTATTCGCTAATACCGTACTAGAGTAATTAAATTGCTTTTTAGGATATCTATTTTGATTGAACATGTATAGAGTCATTCAATTATGATATTTTGAAGGAGCCGAAGATTTCTTATAGTAAGACATGGGTCACAATTTTTTATATATAGGTCACAAAATTAATTTAATCTTTAAGTGTCGTGGCTTTTTTTTTTCCAGAGAAAGCAAATTCGGCATTTGATGACTTTCTTATCTTTTCGTTTATTAACTGGACTCAATTTGCCACCCTCAATAAAAAAGAGTTATTTACTTATTCAAAAAGTTGTTTTGTTGTTATTTTAATATTTTTGTGGTAATTATAGCTAATATATCTATATTGAGCTTGTATATAGTTGCTACACAAAATTGAAATGAGTGGCAAGATCAATCCATAAGTTAATCACTCTCTATTAGCTTTAGCTTTTAGAGTACCAGTTGTTTGATTACATGGTGATAGTGCAAGTAGAATCTTTATGAATTTCAATTCCTAAATCCATAAGTTAATCACTTTCTATTAGCTTTAGCTTTTAGAGTACTAATTGTTTGATTACATGGTGATAGAGTAAGTAGGATCTTTATCAATTTGAATTCCTTCCCTGGACCCTAGTTAGGTAAATCTCTTTTGTGAATTATGTTACATGGACTCCATTACAGATGTCGGGTGTATGGATGCGTTTCTAGGGATCCAAATCACAAATTTAAAGGTACACAGACTCAGCATAAAAATGGTCATATTTATATATTTTAAGTTGTTTATGTGAGATAAAATGATGTTATATGTAGTATACATTGTCAAAAAGGTGTTTTACACCTTTTATAGCTATTATACAACAATATATATACATAATGATAGTGTTAAATACAAATATTATTAAATATCTAATTGTCTGATAGAAAGTATGAGACACATAACACACACCCTTGTCAAAGTGTCGGGTGTCTAACACGAGTGTTTGATTAGTTTTAAGAGTCTAGGAAACATAGACGTGCATGCCTCACTCGTGAGGAGTATGGTAAAGTTTAAGGGGCACACGGTGAAATCAATATATGAATCATGTCATTCTCTATGGCTTAAACTTTTAGGGTAACCGGTTTTTAATATTAGTTACTTTATTATCTCTTATCAAGATTGCACCTTGCATGGACTTCCTGAAGATATATAAGATGCTATTTCTAGACTTTCTAATTGAAATTCTTCCAAACCTGTCCTTTTATTCGCTAATAAGATGCTATTTCATCTGCCTTTTCTACGAAGGTAAAAGTTTTCTTCATTTATATTTTGCAAAATATTATTTTCTTTTACTAGGCAATATCAATTTATAAAAGTGTGTTTACTAAATTGCAGATATGTTAACGATGGGAGACCATTCTGGTAATACATAGTTAGTTCTTTAACTGGTTGTTTAGATTCTTAATACTGTGAGGAGTTGTACAATTATTATACTATTGAAAAGGTTAGCTTTGAGGCACTGATTGATTACAATTGTTTTGGGGTTATTGAATGCATTTTTTCCTCTTGGTATGAAAAGTAAGGTAAATACTTCCAAAATGCTAACCAAACCTTGTCTGATATATTTATTGACACTTATAAGTTATAACTATAGATCACATTACCATCTAACTTTTAAGTTAATTTTCATTTGTTTCTATCCAAAGGCATGGCATCTTTGTGATCCGGATACGGAAAAAGTATTTAAGACCCTAAGGAATGTAGGTGTAAAATTGGTTGTTGTGTCAAACTTTGACACTCGATTGAGTCCTGTTTTGTGGGCTCTGAATTGTGATTACTGGTTTGATGCTGTGGCAGTGTCGACTAAAGTAAGTATTGATCTATTTATTTTTTCCTTTCATTCTTCCTATGGCATCGTTCAATTTCTCTTTTTCCCTGCGAACAGGTTGACGCAGAGAAACCAAATCCCACCATATTTATAAAAGCTTGTGAGTCGTTAGGAGTAAAGCCTGAGGATGCTGTTCATGTGGGAGATGGTCGTAGAAATGATATATGGGGTGCCAGAGATGCAGGTTGTGGTGCTTGGCTATGGGGAAGTGTCACACCCCGACTTTTATTACCCAAGTTCATTACCAAATCCTTTATATTATTACCATTTTAAGTCATTCCATCCATCCAAGAACATAAACAAAGAATAAATAATAGCATTCCCTCGCGACAATGATGATGATATAAATAAGACATGGTATAATACCCTTAGGCTTACATTGAATAACAATAAATAGAAACAAAAGGGATTTACCCTTATACAATACATGGCACTCAGTCAACAATAAAAAGGGCCCCGTGGCCAACTAAGTAAAAGACTTCAAGTCCCGAACGATCTTCTAGCCTTGTACCTGAAAAGTTTGTCAACACGTGGGATGAGCATTAAGCCTAGTAGAGATCCAAAAGATCCTAACCAATCACAACATATAGCTAGAAATGAACATGCGTACACCACGCTATAACATATAAGTAAGGTGACAGTTAATATTTAAAAGTATACTCGTATAAATATGTTTTCCCAAAAAGTTCCTCTTGATACAACACAGTATAAAAATCATTTCTTCTCTATTAAATTCTCGTTTTGCTTCCAAAAACATTTCAAAACCCCATTCCTCTTTTAATAAAACCTTATACGCTAACATAAAAGAACCTCACTTAAACATTCGTTCTAAAAACACAACCCCACATGCAAGTCATAACTCAACCCCACATCTCAATACAATTTATGCATCTACGCACCAATACATCTACTATCTTCCCTGTGTAGCTTGCTTTTCGTTTCTCCTCGGAGGGGTTAATCTTCTCAGATACGATAGCCCTATAGTTCGGACTCTCGTGGTTCTGAATCTAGTTTCACAAATGCAATGTAAAACAGATAAACACAATTGAGTCCAACTTTAGCAAATCTTTAGAAAATCCATTTATCGTTTAGAGTGCCAAAAATAGATTGCATTGCCAGATTACAGAGTTGCCATCTAAATATTTTTGAGAAATTTAAGAAACCCGTGACTCGTACCAAAGGCCACTTGTCCATCATCACCAAAGTATCTCGACTCAGGAACTTAGGTGTAAGAGAGGAATGTCATGAATTGAGCACCCCACTCACCCGATCAAAGATCAGGTTCTACTAATCATGATGTATTTTTTATACAGTATATGCTCTTATTCCAATTATTAATGCTATCATTACTATGTGAGGCACGCAAGTATAGACTAATTCACAAAATTTGGAACGCTTTGAGTTTATGTTAGTTTTGAAAAGGATTTTGAATATGTGCCACTTAAAAAAGCGAGCTCGTATGTACATTTAATCAAATCATCCAAATTTAAGCAATTAACCTTCATCCACAGGCATTCAAGAGATATATCAACTAAGCATTTAACCTCATGGTAACATGCTTGATATGGCAACACGAACATATATGTAATATGCTAAAGCAAGAAATGCTCACATAGTACTCAACTGAGGCAAGCCAAAATAGAAGAAAAATAGTTAGAAAAATGCATGATCCTAACAATGTGAATGACTAATGCGACACATACAACATGCAATTAATAGGCTCGGCTACTAGCGTGGCATGTGAGTCAATTCAAGGCATGCGATAAAGCACGTATTCGAGTAAGGAATGTGAAATTGGCATTGATTAGTATGATAAGTCGAAACTTTATGTATGCAAAATGAATGGATGCGAGTCATGGAAAATGTTAAGGAAAATATGATGCTATACAACCATGGTAAGCGGAAAAATAAAAGGGAGAAAGAAATGGGGGTTGAAAGACATACACAAATTATTACATATTTGCCCTAGCGCAAGAGGGTCTAAATGTCCAAGTGTCCAAATCAACTACTTATTACAAATCCGAATGAATAATAAATAAAGAACTATCTAATTCTTATTACAACAAGAATATGTAAAGCATGCACAAGGATCCCACATGCGTCGATGAAGACGACCCTCAGAAATTGCTCTGTCTGCCTCCTGGGAAACTGTTCTGTTTCACCCTCAACCACTGCTCTCTATTTCAACCAAAAGTGCTCTATTTACCATACATTGGAGCCCGGCCGACCCACAATGAGACCTAGCCGGGCCCAAAAAATCCGATTGTGCCCTATTTTTTTGCAAAAAATTGTTTTTGTGCTCTGAGGTGAAAATAGTACAGACAGAGCAATTCTAAGCAATGTTTAACCTTTCTACCCTTCTCTATCATGGAGATACTCAAGAGAAGAGCGGGTTCGGTTCCCAAACCATCAATGGTTGCAAGTTGATTGTGTGATGATTTCGGACACGATAGGACAAAAAGTTAATTAATGTAATGAACGGCAAGCAACACCTCCTTCCTATCATGAAGTTAATTCAAGAATGGAGGTAGACACACCTCAAGAATCATCAAACATCACGAATTAGTATGTGATGACTCTAGAAGCAATGGATTTGGTATAACGTCCAACCAAATCCGACCAATTTTCTTAGTTTTCTTTATTTCGGTTAATTTTAAGCTGATTTTATTAGCCTTTTTTCATCTTACCTCTCCATTTCTTATCTTTTAGTCCATTTTGTCCAAAGGTGATATTTACGTCCACTAAATGAAGAGAAGTGTCAAACAAGAAGTGGTCCTTAGCCTGACAGAGATGTGATGACTTGGTAATGAACCTCTGAAGAGATTAAACCATTAAGTATGGAAAGTCTCTTTCTCATGCTTTGAACAATAATCAATTGTTTGAAACAACTCTTAAGCAAAGAAAACCAAGAAAGGAGGGAGGTTGCAGAGATGATTATGCAACGTTGATTATTACAAAAGTGAGACTATCGGCAAGAAAACTATCAACTCAAATGAATTGGTGTCTAAGGCCTAAACAACCAAATCCACGAGGACTTACAATACTACAAACATGATATTCAAAGCATAAACCATTTAAATAATTTAAATGCCCCCTAAAATGCAAAAAAATAGTACCCAAAATCATGTTTAAAAGAGCACAAATGATAGCTAAAAACAAGAGGATACAAAGCAAGTAAGCAAGCTTAAGGAGGGGTGACCAACCCCTTTACTTTTAAGACTTCTAAATCATGTTTTTCAGCCTTTTAAAACTCTGAAAATTAGTATTTAAACCAAAGAAAAGAGTGGGAAAACAAACGGTATGAGCTATGGGATAAGGTTCAAGAAAGGATAAGTAGCCTCTCCATCTTTGATAGCTCTTTAACCCCAAGTTTCAACACTTGGAAAGGATCTAAAACAACATGAAAACACAAGAAAAAGATAGATAAAGATTGAAATGCAAGCAAGGAAGAAGGTGGCAAGCTTATACCTCTTGAAGAGAGACTGCTTTTGTTGTAAATCAAACTTGATCCTATGGCACTCTTAAGTTTGAATTATGGTATCAAAGTCTCAACCAAAGCTCTAAGTCCAAGCTTTAAGGGTGTATATGGTGTATGTATATAGTTCAAGGATGATAGGATAGCACAAAGGTGACTTGCAAGAGAAGAAGGAGCTCTCAAAGGTCTTTTTAACTTTTTGAAATTTTTCTAACCCTCAAAACAAATGACTGAGCTCATATTTATAGAATTTGAGGTAAATAGGTCATAAATATCTTCAAAAATATACAGCTGGTGGATTCCCGCCCAAAATAGTGTTTATCGCCCAAAAGGCACAGTCGGATCCTAATGGCCACGACCGACCCCAAATAAGGCACGACCGGGCCCTAATGTGGCTCCCCTACCCCTCAATTTCAAGTTTCAATGAAAGTTGGCACAGTGCTCAAAAATGGTTTTTTAAGGTAAGAACATTGTGGGTATGGAAGGTTGGGATTGTTTAGAGCTCAAATTCAGATTCCTTCATTGAGAATTCAAACCACTTACACAATGTAACTTTCATCATCGAGTGCCCAGAATAAAGTGCCCAAGTCTTACACCTGGCCATAGGCCCAAGGGAAAAAGACAACCGTGACACAAAAACCGATAACACATATATCCAAAAATAAATAACCGAGAGTAATACATATTACCAATTCCATCTCCACCAATATACAGCACGGACGGTAGATCCCACAATAAAGATAACAAATAACATTTTACCAGCCTCACCTAAAAAGGGGTGCCCTTCAAGTCATACTTTACCGGGTGCAAATCGGACGGGACGAAGAACCTATCACAAGGCACCACGCATTGCCGGCTCAGCTACAACGGGAAACAGACCCTCTTTCACACTTTACCAGGCGCAAACTAGAAGGGATGAGAAAACCTTTGTCAGGGTGCCACGCTTTGCTGGCTCAATATGGTGGGAAACGGACCTCCAAACAACATCACAATAAAAGCATAACACGCTAACTAACATAAATAATACACGGTTGTAATACATACACCTAGTCCAATTATCACAACCACGACTATTAATAGTTAAATACAATAGCCCACTTCTTTCAAAATGTGCTCCATGCACCACCGTTCAACAACGAGTTTTTCCTACATTTTCAAAACGTTTCGAAAACACAATACGAATTACTAAACACGAAAACCATAACAATCCAGCAATAGTCTCACAACATTACCACATCCACCAGCATTCTAATTCCTCTCTAACAACATAATCCATAACTCAATAATGAAATTCTCTATTCACAATGTCCATTTACAATCAACAACATATCATTCTACATTACACAACCCATCCTACAATAGTACTTACAACATGTATCTAGCAGCAATCAATACCATCCTCCATCAAAGGCCAATGACAAAACTCTAGATGCCAATTACATAATCAAAACAATACATACACCTGTAGGTATTTCCATACTGTTGTTTGTTCCAGACTCTCATGTTCAATAAAAGAGGTAATTAATCACACTTTGTTTTGAAAACAAATCCTCACTACTCTAAATCCCACCATACTCAACACTTGCCAACACCTAATAACATTAATCCAAAACCCCAAGATTTGTAAACAACCATAACATAACCCAACTTCAATTCAATGTTAAGCTTTTCCTTTAACATTCTAAAATTTACGAATGAAATACCAAACCTTTCCAGCCCCATATCCTAAACATGCTTTTACAATCCATAATCAACTATAAACATAATCCATAAACCCACCAATTTAAACCCAAACCAACCCATACACTTTTTAACAAAATCAACTATAAAACTATGTTTTAAAAGGCCATAAAAAGTACAACAGGTCCACCTACAGCGAGGTATTGAAAAGAAGCTTTAGAATCCCTTCCTCTTGAAGCGAAGAGGAGAAAAACTAAAAATCCACCGGCAACGAAAACACGATCTGCTCAGATTAAAACGACGCCCTCGCCATCTTTTATGTTTTGATTTGTTGAACTAGGGGTAGAAAATGGGTG